GGTGCGAATACTTGTTAACGTGTTGTCAGATTATTACCCACTCAGCTATTTCGGCCACTGTGTTGCAATTTCCTTCCATTTCTCTCAAGTCACTGTTTAGTTAACGAATCACTGTTTTAATTAATACACATTACAATACCGATTGTTCAATGTAAACAAATATATATATGTATAATGTTATGCATGTTCACAGGTTTGTTCCCAACTGTTTCCATGAATTATTTTGACTATTTCCCTTTTCATGTGTTTCTTTTAGACAGAGGGTTATAAGCTCTTATTTTCTTATATTAAAATGTTATTATCAATTACTATTAATACACTAGATAATGCTGGGAAATGTGGTAAGTGTTCTTCATGTTTATTATGTTCGTAAAATTAAATATAAAGTATTTTGCTTATAACTGGTCCTAGAGTGGCATCTTGTGTTCAGAACAAATCATTACAAATCTAAGCAGACCCACAAATCCGGTAATACTTCCAGCTAAGGAGCTAATCCTGTCCCCTAAACCAAAAGTAATCGGAAACAGAGAAAAAAAAATTAATATACATTTTTGGGAATGACTGGTGTGATTGGTTTTTTTGTGTGCAAACATTAGAGAAACAGGTGTTACTTTTCTCTACACACAGGAGAATTTATGTTATCTTTTCTGTATGGACACAGATAAATGTCCCTCTGTGTTTGGTGCCTATTATAACAGTATATAACAAGATAAAAAGAAATCGTTAGATTTCAGTAAAAAAAAAAAATTATAATAAAAAATAAAAATAAAAAGTTTTGGATGAAATTACTAAACAGAGTAATAGAGAGGTGGGTGTTACTCTACCAGGGGAAGGCAATCTTTGGCACGCCAGATGTGGTGGACTACATCTCCCATAATGCTCTTAAAGCCAAAATACTAACAGAGAATCATGGGAGGTATAGTCCAAAACATCTGGAGTGCCGAAGGTTGCCCACCCCTGCGAGTCTAAACATTACATTCTCTAGAATGATATAACACTACTTGTTCAGGTGATGTTCTGATCATGGCACTTCATCTTGAGCCTACATGAGTAAGTTTCTTGGGTCCCAGGGCAGGGCTGGTTCCTGCTACCGGTGACAGACAGGAACAGGGATGACAGATCAGGTCCCTAACAGTAAAGGCAAAACCTGCATGTCACGTTATATATTAACTCTAACTCTATCAGCTGTAACATTTTTAGATGCAGGTCCTGCTGGCAATAAAAATATACTGGAAAGGCTATTATACACATCTTGTAACTACCACTACTGTACTGCAAGCTATATACTATGGGTACCAGTGATAAATACAGAGACTACACCAAAGTCCTGTAAGATGCATATAAAAGTATACAGATATCAAAAATATGAATTTCAGAAAACGTGCTAGAGTTGTAAATATTATACAAAGTTATTGTATGCAAAAACATTTTTTTTATTTTCATGTTTTGTTTTCTTTTGTTTTCCTCCAGAGGTGGTCTTTCTCAATTTAGAGATCAATTTACTGACCTGTCTCCAAATTTCTGTGAATTGCTTATATAATTTTACAACGTGACAGGTGTCTTCGTATTTTGCATAATCTCTCTTTACTATCTCCACACAGCAGCAAAGAAACATATAGAAAAAAAGAACCAATCACAAGAGAGTAGGATGTACATAGTGACCTCATCATTTCCTATTTCTTTGCTGCTCCATCAAGCAGACAGGTCAGACAGGTTGATTTAGGCCATTTATATAAGCTGTTTAAAGGGAATATCTCCCATAACCTTGTATTAACTATTAGAGCATGGATTAGTGCTCTCTGTCGGGGTTGTGGCCAGCACTCAAGGGGTAAACCCCTGCTATATTTTTACTGCATTGTGATACTGTATGGAGACATGCTGCTGCAACCTCTGTGAACTGCTAAACGGAATTTCCAGGACATACACTGCAAAAAGGACAGAGTATTACTCTTCTCCAATAATTTATATTTCTATTGCCTTTTTTGGGACTGTTTTGGGATTGTATTTTAATAGGTTTTGCTATTTATTTTAACGTACTTCTATGCTATGGGCATCAGGGGGTCTTTCTTTATTATTAGTTTACTTTTACCTTATTCTGGGTGCTTGACCCTCTCCCCACTTTATTTCTCTTCTCCCAGGGTCTCAAGGAGCTTTTGGGGTTTGCTGGGGCTTTATCCCTACCCTTCCGCCTGCTCTGGTCCCCCAGTATATCCCGGCATGACTGTGGCCTTTCCTCCACGGTCACGCCGCACTCTCCAGTTTGGTGCCGACCGGACTGGCGGCCCCTCGCGAGCAAGCCACGGTGGCCATCTTTAGTCTTGCGAGATTGCGAGCAGCCATCTTTAATCTCACATCTCGCGAGTTTGGACGCTGCCATCTTGCTACACCTGCGTACTGCGATTTCGGTGTAGTATTCTAATCTGTTTTATTATTACATGTTAATTTTGTATTGCTTCAGTTGTATTTGAGGTTTAATGGGATATCACCCTCACCCTCAGATTAACTGTTAGAGCATGGTTCTGTGCTCTGTATCAGGACTGTGCTACACCTTATGTGGAGTTACTTCAGTTAAGGGATGTTTAAGGGATACCTCCCATTAACCTCAGATTACTGTTAGAACATGAATTAGTGCTCTCTATCAGGATGGTGACAGGCACACTCTAGAGTTCATATCCTGTACTGCTGTACACCTGGGGTTACCCCTGGCTAGGTCGTTCTACTTTGTCTTACTGTATAGAGTCAGGCTATTACAACAAGATTCCCAGGGCATACGGCTTAAAGAGATATAACCATGACCTTTGAACAACTGTTTGCACACAGATTGGTGCACTCTATATATGGCCGTGCCCTACACTTGAAAGATTCATACCTCGTGCACCCCGTTGTGGATACGCTACTCTATACTGCTGAATGGAGGCAGGCTATGGCAACCTCTGTTAGCTACTGGACAGAAATTTCAACACTTCCAGCTTAGCAGGATATCTCTCATGACAGTGCATTAATTGGAACATCTGAGGGAGGCTCTCTATCAGGCTGATGGCCAGCACTTAAGGGTTCATACCCTGTGCAAAAACAGTAGGTTAACATTTATGCTCTGAGCTACACAAAGCACCTAAGGTTTAAAGTGTTCCCTTACAGACACTCGGAGTTCAATAGTTTCAAAAGGAAAAACCAAAGGACAGAGTTGTGTAATTCAAAAGTGACAATAATAAATAATACAAACTTTACAATAGTCTAGTTGTCCATAGACACTGAGTATCGGTATGATCGCTGGTAGAATCTACCATAGATACACATCTATTGGGAAAAATATTAAAAAATAGTGTAATACAATTAACACAATTAGAGGGTGGGGTGGTAGAAAACTCACAAGATGTAGGTGAATTCAGGCATGTCTCCCTTAATATTAGGGTAATGGTGAATTTATGGAATACCTCCAGCGATGGAATTCTGGCTATATGATGAATCTTCTTAGCCACTCAAATCAAAGAAGAAAAAAGATAGTGCAGATTATATAAAAATATAACAATTTATTATATATATTGCACTTACAATGTTTCAGAGAAAAAACAGCATGTCTCCACACCAAGGTGGTATCCACATGTTTCAGCCGGTAAAATCACAGCAACGATTACAGACAGAAACAGCAGGGTAAAATAAAATAAAAAGTTCATATGAACATATAGTTACTCAATCGGTAGTCGGATGCCAGCTTGTGGGGCAAGGGGCTGTGAGGACAACCTGTGAGACCACACCCACAGAAACAGGCTCACAATTCAGGAATTCTTCCTTCACGTTGCAGACCTAGCATTCTTTGCGCAGTACTTCACTATCCTCTGCCTGGTAAAGGAGTACTCCGTCGGTTGTAACCTACTATAGATGGTCAGAGCATCGACAATCAGGTATACCAATCGCCTGGATGGAACTAACCCCAGTCTTCTATCAGACATCATGAAAGGCATCTTTGATTCCTGCCTTCCTCGAAGAACCCAGAGATCGGCCTACCTCCCGGGGGAGACACATATCAGAGGGACCGCCAGAATGCGGTGTTCTTCAATTGGCACATTGCACAAGGGTGCACAATAGTGATCGCACTCCGGCCACCTGGGCCTCCCCAGGGGACATATGCTTTTTCCTCCCATGTGATGATTGCGAAACTTCTCCATCTCGTTGTTCAGTGAACAACACCGCCTTTGCTCTCCCACTGTGCCAGAGTCAACCTTGTTTCTCGGACTTTACAGGACTGACTGGTGAGGATCTCCTCCTCCTACGTTCATATCCTACTATTCTCACAGATCTGAAGGAAACCCGCATCTTCTTTTTTTAGGGACCTCTTAGGAGTCTCTTGGGACCCAGGGACGTAACGATGCTACCTCTGGGCATTCCCGGTCTGACTGATGTTTAGAACTGTACCTTGATCCATTATGGGGTGGTTTGGAGAGCCATATGGCCCGTGTCCTGGTCTGGGGACTCCCGATCCTAAAACGTATTTACCAGTTACCCAGTGACATCCACCTCTGGCTCATGGGACGTAGAGGTCATTCTCCGTGTTTTCTATGGGACTGGGGCACCTACTGATGGACTTTTATGCTTGGACCAGTGGCTTTCCGGATGATCGGGCGTTCGACAGGGAGGTTTCTCCCGTAGACCCGACATGCTAGATATCCCGTCACACTTTCGGCTTCTTCGTTAATTTTCTATTTTTTTGCATTAAAAATGCAAAATACGAAGCCTCCTGTCATGTTGTAAAATTGAAGATTATTATAGCTTTAGTGTACTAATAATCTTAATTTTAGTAATGACAGGAGCCAAGTATTTTCCCTCCCTGCTTCGCTACCCACCCTTTCTGTTTGTTTTCTTTGCATGTATCATGGGTCTAAGGTAGGTTTGGCTCTCAGTGTTTTGTGCTTACATTGATGATTGTATTTTCATTAATCTGGAATTCTCATTGGAGTTTTACATTATAGTTATTCAATTATTAGATTGTAGTTTACAATATTCTTCTATGGGATGATGTATAAGTGGATTTACATGTTCATGACTTTGTTTCTAAACCTGTCACACATTCTCTTTTCAGTATGTTTCGTCTCTGAAGACATTTGGTTGTTCGTGTGAAACTCTGGAATTTTGATCCTTCGGATTTGATTCATCCCTGAACACATTTTCGATGTTTGTGTAGAATTCACGGGGGAAGTTTGCTCCTTCGGATGTTGGACTTAAGAGTTATTGTTTTGCTTGTTATATGTTTACTTCTGCTTGCTCTCGCTTTCTGAAAGAGGAAATGATGAGGTCACTATGCCTTATGTACTTCCTACTCTCTTGTGATTGGTTCTTTTTTCTATATGTTTCTTTGCTGCTGTGTGGAGCTAGTAAAGAGAGATTATGCAAAATACTCGCCTCCTGTCCTTACTAAAATTAAGATTATTAGTACACTAAAGCTAGCATAATCTTCAATTTTCTATGAATTTTCTTCTAGGAATTTCTAATCTTTAGGAACCACCCAACTTGCTTAGAAACAAAAAATATCAATCTATCATAATTTTCTCATTGTTCATTCTTTGAACATTGTCTATGAACTGTAAACTCTACAAATCCCCAACTGAAGTAGGTTCAGCAAATTAAACGTATTAAACAAATAAAGTTCTTTTCAGCTGCAGTTTTAATTCTCCTTCATAAAAACAGAGCACTGCATGTAGAAATAGTGATTTTGGTCATTGCTTCTATTACTGTTTTGTCCCTGCAAAATCACTAGATGGACCCTTGCCAGAAATAACATTACAGGCATGCATATCTAGAAGCAGTCAGAGAGGGTCATTCAAAAGTGAGAATTGCCAGGAGGTTTTAGATTTTAGACCAAAAGTTGATGTTAAAGGGACACTATTGGTCCAAGAACTACTAAAGCTCTGGGCAAGTAGAATGTCCCTCCTAGAAGAGCAGTGTAAATCCTGGCTTTTCTGAGCAAAGGCATTGTTTACATTGCTGCTGAAGTCCTCCTTAAGTGGCTGAAACTTAACTTTCTGGGTTCAGTTCTGCAAAGATTGCAGGAACAACAGCCAGCATCTCCACACTGAATGCTCTCTATAGGGAAGCACAGCATCTATAACGAGATGCTGATCAGCACAGTGTTGCAATTTGGCATGCATGTGCACTAATCTCCCAATTCTTCACTATGGGGAGGCATTGACATGGCTGAGATCAAAGGAGAGCAAATGAGGGTTGGCAGAGACCAGACTAACATCAACAAAATAAAGTGCCTATTATTTCTGAAATTAGGGGAACCTGAACATCTATGGTTAAGGCAGGATAACACTCTAGTGTTAGATATACATGTTTGTATTCTTAATGCTATATAGCAAAAAGGTGCAAACTTAGCATGCCACAGTGAACAAACAAATAAATTCCTACCTAAAGACCAAATTGCCTCTAACAAGTCCAAATATAATAAATACCAAGAAAGATGTACAAACGAACACATGGCGGCGGCCATCTTTATTCAATCGAACGCGGTCAGCGGTGTGTGCCCCTGAATCTACGGAATTGAAATCTGCTACATATTTGAACGAACACAGCTGACCCTTAACTTCTCCTCCACTCAGTTTTCAGCCACAGCGTCTAAGTCCCGTTCGGCGATTTGAATACAGTGAGACTAAGCTATTTGCACAAACGGTGTCCCCCGTTCGTGCATGCACGTAGGACTTAGTCATTTTTTTGAGGGAAATTGACCGACCGCACAGCCCAAATCTATGGAACTGTTTTTATGGAGATTGGATGTATAGTTTTAAAGTTATAGTACATGTGTATAAAGTATATTTTTCAGAGGCAGAGGGGAGGATTTTGTGGGAATGAATGGGGGTGTTTTACTGCATATTACGTGTTTTATTGGTTGTTCTTCAAACCCCTGTGGGTGGTACTTTGTGTGTAAAAACTTGCATAAAAGAAAGCCCTTTGCTGCCATTAAACAGAACTACTTGACCCTTTCTTGAAGCCTTGGCTCATGCTTGGGGGATGGGATAACTACACTCTGGGAATTGCTATATTCACACTATACTCCCCAGGGTAAGCTCTTGTAAGAGCTGTTCTTGTTCCTGCTACGCTCTCTGGGAGAAGAGAGGCCTGCCCACTCGAAGCTGGATCCTGGCCTTGGATCCAGGGTGGGTGAAAGACGGCGAGACCTCAGCGCAGCTGCATCACTGGAAGTGGGGTCTGCATTACTGATGGTGTCGGTTGGAGTGCTTGGAGTCCTCGGGAAGCGATAGGAGCATCGATTGGCGGCGATACTCGGTCGGAGTGCCAGCGTTCCGTCACAGGTACAAATTCTTATGTGGCTGAAATATAGCACTTGTTAACTCACTTTATACTGTAATTGACAACACCATAGGCCTGTCGTCTCTTCAAGCAACAAATTAGGGTTTAGAGGATAAGTTCAAAAAAAAAATATCCAAAAGACCTTTTGGAGAGATCTAAAAATGAAATGACTGTAGTTAAAAGAGCAATGTACTAAAGCCAAAAGATAGGAAAAGAGACCGCACAGGGAGAGTTTTTCCATTAGCCCTAATTACACAATTTAACAAAGAAGCACATAAAGTCAAAAGGACAATAGAGAAATACTGGCCAATTTTATTGCACAATCCTATTTTAAAGAGTCCTCCGTAAAAAAAACTTACAGTTTTTAAACAAGCCAATAATCTAAAAAAAGTGTTCCCCTAGCCCCCATCCATAGGCAGTGAGGTGGCTTTAATTATAATACAAGGGGGAGGGTCTTGTATCCACCCAACCCCTACTCATGGGTCATGTCTGTGGACTTTAATATTGATAAGTAGAGGATCTAGTCTCCATCACGTCATTATTACCCATGGGCATTAGGTGGAGATTTTAACTAATTATACACGGGCAGTGTTGGAACTACCACGGTCGCAGAGGTTGCAGCATCACTCCAGGGGGCCTGGCCACCCTGCTGACCCCTGCGACCATGAGTTGCCAAATGTGGGGGCGCCAAGAGGAGCCCTCTCACAGGGGGCCCAGGAGGTGGCCATCTGGCCACCTTAGTGTCAGGATTACTAGATGATCCAGCATGTAGAATTATATCACACGTAGGATTAAAAGATAACATGATACCGGCCTTAGAATGACCAGAGAATAGTCAGAATACTTGCCGAGGTTGGGTACACAGAATGAGACACAACGATGAGGGAAAGCCAAAAGTCAAGGAAACCAGAATACAGGGAAGTCAAAACAAAGCTAAAGTCAATAACCAGAAACAAACTATTAGGAACGCACTCTCAGACAACCACTAAGGGAAACCACGACAGGGCAATGAACTGAAGAAATAAATGAGCTTAAATACCCCTCTTGTGGATCCAACTGGCCGTAACCGTCCTTTGACCACAGAAGGTGCATGTGCGTCCGTTGCGTGAAGTCAAGCATACGTCAACGTCGTCCATGCCATGGGGATACAAATTGGTGTAGATCTGCAGTGGCCGGTGTCCATCAACATGCTGCAGGGGTCAGACATATTGATGCATGGCTGCTGAACGCTATTACTGCACTTGTTGGCAAGGCAATAACTATCGATGTTGCAAGGTGATGGTAAATATGTTACAATTAGGGCACCCCTGAATCGGCTCTTACCCAGTGAGGCAGAGTAGGCACCTGCTTACCTGGATGGCAGGTGCCTATTATGCCAATACATATCAGAAGGGGGTTGGAGGACAGAATGCAGATGAGGGAGGCAAATCTGGCTGTTCCTCTCTTCTCCCTCGTGTGCCCTCTGTGATGCCGGGAGCTGGAATATGATGTCATTCCAGGCTCAGCATATTAAACAGCGTGCAGGAGGAGAGAGGAACTGCCAGATTAAAGCACAGCCCCACACTGGACCCCAGGAAGAGAGCCAACACCAGCTCTCCAAAAGGTAGGGAGGTTGGGTGGGCGTCTAAAAATTGTATTTGTGAAAGTGTGCAAGAGTGTGTGTGTGTATGTGTGTCTGTGTGTCTGTGTCAGTGTGTGTCTGTCTGTGTCAGTGTGTGTCTGTCAGTGCCTGTGTGTCTGTCAGTCAGTGAGTGTGTGTGTCTGTCAGTGTAAGTGTGTGTCTGTCAGTGTGTGTGTGTGTCTGTCAGTGTGTGTGTGTGTGTGTGTGTGTGTGTGTGTCTGTCACAAATGTATGGGGGTGGGAGAGACACATGGAGGGGGTGGGTGGAAGAGACACATGTGGGCTGGTGGTGAGTAAAAAACATGGAGACCTGAGGGGGAGAATGAGCTACGCAAAGGTAGAAGAGACAGGTGAAGGGGCTGGCGGGGGGAATGAGACACATGGAATGGCTTGTGGGGGGATGAGACACATGGAGGGGCCCCAGTGCAGTTTTCACATGTGGGCCTGGTGGTTTCCAGTTATGCCTCTGTACTCTGTGCTGTGGACATGTCATTGTTCACCCCCAAATTAATGGCATTGTCCACACACTCCCCAAGCCTCTAGCCATGCCCCTTTAAATTAAACTAACCCTACCTCCTAACTCTAATAATAGTGAAGGAGCTATTTAACAAATACCTGAAAAATTAAAAAAATTATACTTGCATAGTTGCATAGTTACATATACTGAAAAGAGACATGCGTCCATCAAGTTCTTACATCTGTTTTTGCTATTGATCCAAAAAAAGGCAAAAAAAAAACCAATTTGAAGTGCATTCCAATTTTGCAACAAACTAGCCTTCTAGGATTTGCAATAATCTTTCTCAATCCAAGAATGACAGTCAGGTCTCTCCTTGGATCAAGAAGCTGTTACCAAACATATTAAAAATTATATTCCTAATTAGTATGTTTTTGCAAGTATTCATCTAGTTGTCATGTAAGCAACTGTATAGACTTTAATAAAACCACCTCTTCAGACAGAGAATTCCACATTCTTACTGTTCTTACTGTAAAAAAACATTTCCTTTACCTTAGTTTAAATGTCCTTTCTTTCAGTCTAAATGCATTTCCTAAGTGTGACTTCGTGTCCTATGTATGGTCCTGTTTATGAATAGATTTCCACTAAATGGTTTACATTGGCCCCTAACTTGCCATAAGAATTATTATTTCCTCTAAACCTTCTATTCTTCAAGCCCAAAAAGTCTTAATAATTTACAAAATAAAGATATGCACCTACTTAAATGAAATAAGGTACCAGAGGGTCCGAATGTCCTTACCCCAGCCACATTTAATTATTTTACAGTCCCACATGTATAAAAATTATGCCAAAATGGGCAGATAGTTTTTTTCATTACAGTGAGCTGCTCACTGACTGCTTTTTTATACCACCCCCATCCTCCATCCCCCACTCACCATGAGTCTGCTAAACAGCAAGCAGCCAGTGGGCGAATGACTGAATGGTTTCATAATGAAGTTCGGTCTGCCAGTCATT